ACCCAGCAGGCCCACCTGAAATCCTGAATGAATCTCACTGCCTGGTTAAAGGAGAGCAGCTGGTCTGTGTGTGCATCAGCTGGGGGAATCCTCTGTCTCCAGTTGTTTGGCCTTTAAAGTCCCTCACAGACTTCTCCATCTCCAGCTCCAGCAACGATCAGAAAGTGAGCAGCACCTTCACTTTGTCTGCTGCTGAGCATCACAACAACACCATGAAATGCATCAGCACAAATGAACTTGGCCAAACTGAAACTGAAATTCTAATTAAAAACTCCACAGAGGAAACAGGACGAACCTGTGAGTAACAAAACTTTCCTACTTATCTGTAATCTTCACACTATTTAAATCCACAAAACCTGTGATCATGTACATGTTACAGACGTTTCTGATGAGAAGAAATGGTTTGAAACAGCTCTTCCTTGGATAGCAGCAGTGTGTTTTAGTCTGAACCTGGTTTTCATCGCTGTCCTGATCATCTGCATTCATCAAAAGTACAAAACCGAGTTTGTCACATTCATCGGTTTATCAGAACTGTGGTCATTTGAAGAAGGAAATGTCTTAAAACTGTCATTGTTTTGCAGAAGTAAAGTGAAGAAGAAACCGTGTGAAGAGAACGACACATACGCATCTCTGAGAAAGGCAGAAGTTGAGGATGAGTATAGCATCATACCTTCATAACTCAAATAAAATAATGAAGACGGTCGTTCCGTGTGTCATAGCCCAGTATTTATGCAAATGCAAACAAAGTGTGTGTGTTTAATTTTATTGTATGTGATCGGAATCTATGGTCCAGCAAGTCATCTATTATGAAAAACATTCAAAATATAATTTGTATCTAAAACCTGAATGTGCATCATTCCTGTCTACCAAAGCTCAGATATTTACTTGCTGCTTGCTTTGTTAAGCTTCAATAAAAAGTTCCACACAGGGAGCTGACTCCCTGTGGGAGCATTTTGCTCCCTCAGTTTATTCTCCCCATCCCTCGCCGCACACCTCCATCCTCTTCACTTTCAACTTCACCCATGTAGGTTTTTTTGGGGGCACAGTCGTGTTATAAGAGCAATAATATTACATTTGTATTGCCATAACCACCTGGGCCCCAAATTTTATTGTACATCTTAGACTCGTAACATTTTCATGAAATTCACATATAGGAACTTATGGTGGGCACTCATGGCTATAGGTGGCCCGATGGCACCACTCTTGCCTCCTGTACCTG